AATTATCAAGCAGTGGAGTTACAGCTGAAACTCAGATCTACCTGATTGCCATGTTCCAAGTTATCACTCGTAAACGAAACACATCATAATCGGCCGAGCCAAACTATGTATCACTTTTCTAGATGAATAATGAGATCATAGGGGCAAGGATGTTATAAATATTCACTGTTCTTGTTTTCCAAGATCAGAAATTAGCATAGTGAGCAAATGAAGCCTGCAAAGTCAATTTCTGTTTACTGGTAAACTGAAAATCATCTTTCCTGTAACCCCCGTAGGTCAGAGGGGAAGGTAATCCTTGCGATACATCTCACTGGGAGAAATGTTTATTTGGGCTCATTATATCGCTTCACAAAACCATGTCATTTTAAGTTTCAAACAAGAAAACGTATATTAGATGAAATTTATCAAAGTACTTCATTTTCTCTGTTTATGATAAAAAGATACTCATTGGTAACAAATTTATAAACAGATATTAAGTGTTTAGTTTATCCATTTCTACTCATTAAACCAGAATTATAAAAAGTGGGAGCCATATGCTTAAGAAAGATCGTTTACATTCACTAGAACATTTTATTTTAACTATGAGATATATTTACTTATTTAGCGATTTGGTAGGTATAGCAGTTTTCTGAAGTACAGAAATTGTATTGCATAAATTTAAATACATTTCTATGTCATCATTTCTGAATAAGATCTGTGGGCTCATAAAGATTTGCTAGATGTAAACAATTATACATTTTGAATATTTTAATATCATAAATAATTAAATACCTGATGAAATGCAAAATCCATGTTGAAGGCTAGCCCTTTGAATCACTTTTTATTTATTTGTTTATTTTTTTACTGGCATATAATTCATGAACTATTCAATTTAATCTCTCATTCATATTAAGAAGAGTTATACAATTATCACCACAATCAATTTTAGGACATTTTTTCATTCTTGTACTTATCATGATTATGAATCACTGTTAATACAGAGGTTGTTTTAAAATGGATATGTAAATAAGTCTCTAAAGTTTCAAGCATAAACATTAAATTATTATGTAGTGAAACAACAAAATTTTATATGTGTGGTGTGTACTCCAAATAGACTAAATTTCAATGGAAAAACATATAAGCTTAATATAAAAGAATAAATTAATATTTGATTATGCTACGTAAAAATCACATATAGTAGTAGTCCTTAAAAATCACCAAAGTAGTCCTTAGAGAACTTTAATACATATGCCAACATTTTAGGTTTGAATGACTAGATAAAATTTATTGTGTCTATTAGATAATTATAACTTTTATTCAATCTAATGCAAGAGGAGCAGAGAAACAATTATATGTCTTTTTCTTACCTCTATGAATATTATTCATGGGTAATTTCACCTTATACACTTTACTCTCTTTGACTGTAATTATGATGACCGTATGCTTAAAATTTTTCATTGTATATTTATAAAATGTAAATCACAAGATTTTCCCTCCTTGAAAATATCCCTTGGTTTAAAAAATATGAACTCAGATTACGTAAAATACTATGTTGGGTGGCAAACCAGACTGTGAAAATGTTTACAGAGTTCTCGGCATAAGAAAGATAATTGAAGAATTGGAGTCTATAATCGAAAACATCACTGCTAGTCTGAGTCCTATGAGCTGAAAACTAAGCATTGCCTTTCGTACCTGGTTCTTCCTATCATCTCCCTCCATCTTTGTACCGAGCAGGCAACTAGTCATCCAGCCAGTGCACAAGCCCTCCCAACACCTCACAATTGTACCGCAAGAAGGTACAGCTCAGTGAAGGTGTTTTTTGTTTTGTTCTTTATAATCGAGTTTCTAAACAGAATTTTATTTCTTTATATTATTCATTGGGAAAAGAAAAAAGAGTTGAATTTTTAAATGAAAGACAGACTGTAAGCTCTTTAGATAGGTAGCTATGTGCCACGTGCACTTACCCCCTCGCAACTTCTGAATCTTCTGACAGTGATTTCCCTGGGAGGAGAGCATCGGTAGCTGTTTCTGCTCCGACGTATCTGTAAGTAGTTTGGTATATTATAGTGTGTGACATAAGTTGTTTGATTTGAACTATATTTCATAATTGTTTTTTAAAATAGGATTTAGTGTGGTTCACTGTGGAAGTATGATCATCCAAGTCGTGAGACCTTCTGTTCATTGGGAATAATTCTAAAGAAAATAATTTGTGTGTTTCCAAGAGATATGCAGCGCCGCTGGGTGCCCATTTTTGGTGTGGGCCAGTGTTCTCTGTTCAATTGCTCACAGCTTTAGCACTAAAGAACATGCAGGATAAATGTCTCAACTCAAATAAAAATAAGTTAACAGTGTACTTTTATTCCTTAGAAATTAAAGGCTTTTAGTACAGAAAAACCATACAAACTTCCTATAATTTTGTTTCAAATCCATAGTTGAACAATGGGTATTATTTAATGCCTTAAAAATATTATTTAAAACCTAGAGCCCATTACATTCATGGTTTAAACAGGTGTTCTCCATAGTAAAGATAATGAATGTAAAGAAAATTATATATTGGAA